CTTAAACATTGACGTGAAATTAGTATCTTTTAGGCTTTTTTTTACTAGCATCATTACTATTACTGTTTAATCAATCGGTTGCTAATAGTTACGCTATAAAAAAAACCTTTGAACTACATAATTACATATTATTAGTATTATTTAATATGTATAATTAATTAAATGAATTATTCATACGAAAATATTAATTAGTGATCAAAGTTAATAAAGTGTAGCAGAAACAATTTCCTTTGAAAAAATCATACGAAAGCCATCTCAGATAGGATAATAGAGGAAACGTATAATTATTAGAATAAGCTTAACTTTTAAGGCAATATTTCTAGAAGAATTAATCACAGGGTCATTTATTTCTGTTTAGCACTTACACAAGAATTCACACCAGTGTTCTTTTTAATAGTTTGATCACATTTTTCATACAGTAATTCGGAATAATTAGTGTATATTAAAAATTCTCTCAAGTTACAAAATATTGAACATTGAGGTTATTAGTGAAAGCCTAGATAATGTTAAAAAAGTGATAATTAATAGACCATCTCATTTGATTAGTACACTAAGACTTATGGTGCGTAGGTGGCACAGCGGTAGAATGCACGTCAACCACGCCACACGTGGTTCGGGCTTCGATCCTCCACCGACTCAATCCTTTACTTCGCTTAGTCAGTAATATGACCAGTAAAGAGGGAAGGTTGGGCACAAGGATAGCAACCCCATCCCGTAAAAATAAAAAAACACTGCTAGCAAAACTTCAAAACTCTAGCTTGAAGCTCTATGTCCCACTTGGAACGTAAAAGAATAAGAACAAAAATGCCAGGACTTATGAGGATAAGTTATTATTATCCGCCTCTAATTGAAATTAGTTGCACTGTGTAATGACATAGAACAATACGAATGATAAAACTTGCACTTGAAGAGTAACCTGATACTTACAAGTGACTAACTACAGGATGAAGTTTGGAGTTCTCCTGAGACATTTCGACCAATGCGGTCCACCAGATCAGGTATAAAGACAGATACTCAACAGTTACGCGGGCTAGCGGTAAGAGTAAACATCGTGAATTGACAAGAATTAGGAATCATAGACCATCATGCTTTTTCATAGTGAATGAGTGCTCAGTGAGCGCACATTATAACCTGAATGTCCTGGGTTCAACCCTTGGTAGGTGGGTTCATGGGTGAGTTATGCTGATGAATCCTGAGGTAGGATGAGACAGCTGTTGACTTCATCATGCTTTTCAATGGCTCTCTCACAGAAGTCAGTTCGTTATCAGTTCATCAGATCTCTAAAAAGTGACACCAGGGAGCTAACTATATTAATTATATTTTAAGACATAAGGTAATATGGGTACTTTTCTTTGCACTCACGTTAACATGTCTGTTAAGTAGTCATTCGTTATAAACTTCTTGTGAATAAACCTGTCTTTGGAAATATCAAAATAAGAGGACATTATGCTGTGAAACTTTTCAAAACCAAATCATTTTAGAGAGCCTTCCTATTTCGTTTAATAAATATGAACAGAACCAACAGAACAAGTAAGGGTGAAGATATACACTATTCACCAAAAGGAATAAAGTCAAAATTATTAACGTTAATGTCAAATCAGACAATGCTTTTGAGTGCTTCAAAGGCTTGGAGTGCATGTCAGAAAAAGCGTTTCAAACACGGTACTGAAGGCTTACATCAAAACCTTTTCTACTTTGCTGTCTCAATGATAAGCAGGTGTCTGGTTAGAAAACAACAGCAACAATGAACTCCACCGAATAGTACAAGTGAGAAGGCAACAACCTACTATCCAAACAATATGCAGAAAGAAATGAGAATGGAGTGAACATGCACAGAAGAGACCGTTGAGTAACGCCACACTCCAGTCAGACGGTCGAGTGTGAAAAAATCAATGGAAAGCAAAAGATTAGGCGTGGATACAAATGTGACATGTAGGCGATTATGTGAAGAGGAGACGGAAGCTTTTAGGAGAGTCGTGGAGCTGGTTGAAACGGAAACTAGAGGACTGAGTGGAATGGATATATATGGCTGAAGGTCTTTGTTCCACTCGAAACATATGGAGTGAATAGCAATCATGATAACCAGGACATTATTTAGAAAAATGATAACTACCATGAGGTCTCAGGTGCAGACTATTACTTTTACAAGATCTCATCATTCTTTTTCATGTAACCTATATAATTTTAAAAATTAGGAGTACGATAACGATAAGAATGAAGATGTGAAGTGAAGTGGAATGGATTGAGATGGTAAAATAAAGTGAAATAAAAACTAGAAAGAATATTACTGTGATCAAGGTAAATAAAGGGGTTTGAGAAAACGTTTTTGAACACATAATTTAGGTTTCTATTCATGTATAGCTAAAGCTTCGGCTATGCATAAGTGAAGAAAACGTAAACTTTTGTAGCAATTCGATTTTGCCATGTAGATAACCTTGAAGGATGAATCACATGGGGCTGTATGACCAGACTCTAACAGGTGATCACAAATAGACGACTTCGCAGTTCTACATTTGCCTTCATTAACCAAACCGGATTGTGTTCAGTTATATACACGTTAACATATATAACACTGGTCGTACAAATGTGAAAATTTTCCTCAAAGATTGATACTACACACATATCAGAATGTTAATAAATGAATAAATATCAATATATTTCCTAAAATTAAAGTTTTTCCCATTTAAATAATTTCAAAAATTGATTTTTGTAAGGATTAGATTTGTTTTTCGAGTTTGACCATGGACTGATATCAGTTAGAGAACTATTGAAAACCAATAAGGAGTACTGGACAGCTCTTGTCGTCAGCCTAGTTTTGGGATTAATCGGTAGTACTCACTTACTGCCAGGGTTCAAACCCAGGACCTTCCGGTTACAAGGCGAGCTCGTATACCATTCAGCCACTGGGATCCGATTCAATGGCCAGCCAACCCATGAATTTTAATTTTTACCATTTCGTGATTTTAGCACTACCACTAAGCATTTTAGTATTTGCCAAAACGAAGTGGATGTAAATAGTCTTCTCTGTTGACCATCATAAGCAACGGATACGCACAACTTTGAGGAAACTCATGCTCTCTAAGATATTAGGATTTTTTATCATTATATATTATTGTTTTTTAGAGAAACAGCCGCTTCAGGGGTTCAGCCGCACGTCTCCATTACGTTTGACTCTCTGCTAACCTTTTCACTTGGCCCCACGTCTACCCACATGCTTTCATCTCAACTTCGCATGACCTCCTCCATGTCAGCCTTGCACTGACGACCACCTCGCCGCTTCCCACTCGATTTTCACTCGAGTAATGGCCTGGCGTGAAGTGTCACTCACTTGTTGGTTTTCTCAGAGTATGGCCAATCCACCTCCATTTCTTCCTGCATATTTGTTGCATAATTGGTTCCTAGTTGGTTTGCTCTCAGAGATGCCTGTTGCTGATCTTTTCTGACCGGCCATCTGACTTTGAGTAGCATTTCTGATTTCTGATTATAGCTTGATTCCACACCATATTATTGGTACCAGTATGGAATTTTCAGCATGTGATATCGGTAGCCCGAATTTGATAGGCCAACCAAAGTATATCAATTGTGCGTCGGCAGGGGATTGAACCCCGGAACATGTTTGTGATCAGCGAGCGTCCTAACCACTGTGCCAACAATGCTGTTGATGAAGGTGTGTAGTTTGTTCGAAATGCCCCTCGTGATGCGCCAAGTCTCTCATCCGTCTAGTAGCACTGACTTCACATTGGAGTTGGAAGTCCAGATCTTCATTTTCATGCTGACTGCTGTTGATCTCCACACAGACTTGAGAATAAGGAAAGCTTGCCTTTCTTTCCCGATCCTCGCTTTGACATCCTCATCTGTTCCGTCCACCTGTAGTGAGTACGATGCTTCCCAGGTAGGTAGGTAGGTGAAGGAGGTTGCTTCTTTCAGATTCCTCTCACTTATGCTCATTATTGTCTGTTGTTGCTGTTGGCCAGAAATCTTCATCACCTCCATCTACACTTTCTCCATGTTCCCCTGAAGTCCTATTTTTGATGTTTCTTCACTTGCATAACTTCCAGTTTGTGAGAAATCCGACAAATATCATCTTCGTGAAATGCAGATCCTCCAAGTATTTTGTATGGGTTCATTTTATGCATGTTTCTTCGCTACCCGCTGTCTGTAATTAGGGTTTTGTAATTCCATATTTTTTTATTTCCTTCACGTTCTCCAGTGGAACATAGGGCTTCAAGCTAGCGGTTTGAAGTTTCTGTAGCAGTGCTTATTTTACAGGATGGGGTTGCTAGCCTCATGCCCAACCTTCCCTTTTCACCAGCGTTATTTCTGTCTAAGCAAGGTCAAGGAGTGCATCGGCCGGAGATCGAACCCCGACCATGTGCATGGTCGGCGAGCGCCCTAACCACTATGCCACCGACGCACAATTCCATATTACCACTCATATATGTATATATAGTAGTTTTCTTTATAATTCTATAATTGCTAAATTCTAAATCTAGTACACGAAAAGAAAGGCATTATCCTACATTGTGTATAATAGAGACTTTATGTTACATAGAATAAAATGAACAAAAGCGGGAGAGAGATAGAGATCTCAATCAATACAATTAAGGACTAAATAATTAAATTATCTTCTATCTGGCGACCAATTTGTATAATTCATTATATCCACAATGATAGACTTTAGAGAGATATAAAGAGAGAGAGAGAAACAGAGTTGAATAAAATATCTCCTACCTGTGTGCACAGGACAACATTTCCCATTGAAGATTTTCAGAGGTGGATAACTGATGTAAATGAATGAACCATTGCTTTTTTTCAATAACAAATTCAAACTCACACGCACAACTTATCTTCCCTTTGATTACCTATTGGAGCTATTTCAAAATATCTACAAAGATTTAACTTTTGCATCAATTTGAAAAAAAAGGGTTTACATGTCAAATTTTCAGTTCATAAAATATATATATTTCACATAATTATATTGTTATTTTGTAACATTTTAGGCAATGGATTTATTGATGGCGTAGAACTTGAAATGTTCATGGGTAAACTGGTTGAATGTATCATTCCGAAAGACGCTAGAAATGTAAGTAATACTTGTGTGTGTGTGTACTTTTTCTTCGTCACTATGCATTCCGAGTGCAAAAACACAGGTATTCAGGCTTGGACTCTGGAGTTTGAATGCCTGCAGTATTGTTGTTTTAACGGAGTCGGTAGCTTCAAGCATTGCTCTTTGAAATAATACAGAAGATTTATAGCTCAGGTTGATTTAATTGCGAAACTTTCGTAGTCCCTCATCTAGACAGTATCTTCCTTTATATAAATTCTCCATGAATGATGTAATTATATGTCCTGGCAATCACCGTCGTGACTAGTTATTAATTTACATCTCTATTGTTCATTTTTATTGACTTGTAATTTGAGCTTTCTTATCATGCGACTTACTTTTTATTAGCTAATAAATTTTGTCTATAGTAATACTTTTGTTAATTGCTGACTCAGTTGAGTACTTGACTTCTGGGAATTCCCTGGCATTGCTTTACTTGTTTCCTACCATTAAAATTTCCACATTATCCCAATCAAAATGATGTCTATAATTGTCCACATGCATTGATACGAAAGAATATGTATATATATTTCATGTCTTTTTACAAATAATTTGTGTTCTTGAATTCGGATTAGACGGGGATGCCCCACTTTGACCAATGTGTTGTTTATTGCAGTTCATACAGTTTATTTTGTAAATGGTAATAATTTTATCTTCTTTCTCTGTTGGCTCTTTTGGTTTGCATAATGTCGAATGAAGTGAATGTGCTGGCTAGGTTGTGTGCTATACTTATTTCAAACTATCTTGATATTCTAGTTGTTATTTCAGAGATATTCTATATATATGTGTATATATGGTAGGATGAATTTTCTTGTGATCTTTGACGCTCGCTTGTTGTTGGTGTCATGACTCGAGTTTAAACATCTTTCGATGAAATTGTGAGGGTATTTATTCTTTTTGAAGACGGTCAGTAGGTATTTTTCTTCCATTCTCTTCAACACAGGAGTAGTGCTACGTTGTGTTTAAACTCTTTTAAACAATAATAATAATACATTCTCATTTTGTACATGAGGGACGCCAGTTTACAGGCATCATCAATATGATAAATTACATATACGATTAGTAAGCATATTTAATAATAATAATTTAATAAAATACATATTTTTTCCTACCTGTGTAGGACACACCAATTGTACAGGCATGGATAAGTATTATTAAAGTTACACAAATTTGGTTTATGGTTAAATTACATGGTTGCAGTCGTTTTTGTCTTTGGTTTGTGGAAACAATATGATAACTAGTCATTCAATGGAGCATATCAAGAAATATAGAAATATTGTCTTCGCATTAACAAAAACAACCCAAGTATGTTTTGTATGGATTACAAATACTTGGGGAAAAAATAAAGCTTGAAGTAATTCCCCATATAACTTCGGTGTGTACGGTATCGAGTCTAATTCTTGATTTATATCCAAATTTGGTAATAATTTAAAATAAGTGATACACTTGTATAATTTTGTCAGCATTTTAAACAATCATTTATTTCCCCTCCACTTGACCTCCTACATGTCTGGCTCCGACCTACATTCATTTGGATTCAACTAGACGATCTGAATGGCATGAAATTTCACGTGAATGTCTCGACAACGTATATCCATTCTATGTCTATTTCATTCTGTACATTTGTTAGATATTAGGTTGTCACCTGCTGGTTCGATGCCTGACTGAGTTCACTGTAGCTTTTCCTTTCCAAATGGCCATCTTGTCTTCAGTATAGAGGCAGCAGAGTGGACAGATTTTGATGACAGTCTCCATCAGACTGTTGAAAGTAATTTTGCTGACCTGCACGCTAGTACACTTGTACCATACAAAAGTGCTAACTAACTTGATATTTCATACATTTATTCCCCTTAATGAATTTGAATAAAGCAAGAAAAACAGTGGTTTGTGAAGAATAAAATGGCAACATCATTGCTTATTTCGTTGGCTTCTCATCAGCTCTTTACAGGCCAAATTCATCATTAATTATATCTACAGAAACAGTTTTAACATACTTGCACAGAGTTCATTTTAAACAAAAATTAATCAATCAATATATGCGTACAATAGTAATTTATATAATAATAAACACTTTATCCCGAACAATAATTATCATACAGAATGGAATTTTCGGCCTTACATAATCAGATGAAAGAGACAACGAAAACATCCAGCCACTAAGACATAGAAAGACTGATAACAACTTCTTTCTGAACACACAAATCAGGTTTCATTCGCTTGATGGAGATTGCTTTGACAAAATTGAGGAGAATTGAGCTGAAAAGGTTGAACGATCTTGCAACGTCAACCTCATGACCCATGTCTAGCAGATGTGTGGCGGTGGTAGTGTTGAAAGCTTTGTTCACTTGAAATGTAGGCTTTTTGGTACATGTTCAGAAAATCTGAGGTATGCCCTTCTCTCTGTTCTCCCAATGTAACTGCTCCCACAGATACATGTAAATTTATATACACATTCGAAGTTAACATGTGAAGGATATCTATCGAATTTTGATTGCACCAAAGAGCAAGTTGTTCAATAGATGGGAATCAACTTAGCTGTAGGATGCGCTCTGGCTGGTGACATTTTCAATCTTCAGGTGGCAACTGCTGTAATATTCTCACCTTAATAATCAAGTTGAATGTAGATGGGCATTTTCTCTACTGTGATTTGCTTGACATTTGAGCCTTCAGATCTTCCGTACGTGTTAATGAATCTCTGAGGATAAACATTGTTTTTCGACATCGTTTTGGGACTCAGAAATTCTTCCTGTTATTACTGTGTAGAGTATATTCTCTTGCCTGACTCTATAGAACAGAGTCTTGAATAATGCTTGTTTATAGCTACTTGGACAGAAACTATTGGAATGCAAGTCTTGTCGATTCCATGTCGGGTTTCTGTAAATTGACTTCTGGAGACTACCATCTTCCAGGTGTCGCGTGACAATGTCAAATGGGTCATCGAGATATCGCCATTTAGAAGTTGTTTCGTCAATTGTATGCTTCAACTTTGTTCTTTCAAGGTTGGACATACATATATACATATATTAGTGTTGAGAGTTGGTGTCTTGTCTTTTGTGGTTTGGATTTCTGTGAATCTCTACACTAATTTTCGAGTTATGCATATCTCTGTTGCTTTCCTAATTCTGGTGTTTTATGAATTTCTATAAATTTCAGTTCATGCATGTTTTTTTAATTTTTATTTCATTCATTTTTTCCCTCTATCAGATTTTTGAATAAACTCATCAGCTAAAAACAGTAATCCAAAAAAATCGGAAGACATCAACAAAATTGATCCTATTTATAGGTCATTTAAGGTGAAAATTCTTCAAATTCTAGTATTCTTCATCTAAAAAAAAAAAAAAAACTAAACAACATTGGGGTAATTAACACAGCTGTAGGGGAAAAAAAATTAAGTTAGACAATGATGTTCAGCCTGTTTTAATGGGCTGATATTCACCTAATTATACTGATAACTGACACAGTTATGCCATATACAGTAGTAAGTATTCTTATGTATGAGAAAGGCTGTTTTTAAAAACAAAATTGGGACAGGAAATAGAATGTGCGGAAATTAATGAACTTTATAAAATTTAGACTGATTTAATAACATGATCATTGAAGTTGAAATAAACTGATTTGTAATAGAATTTTAATGAGAACAATAACAATAATAATAGTAATAGCTTAATTCTGAAACAATGTTCATAGAATGTTCACAAATTTTCAGTGGAGTCGAGAATCGTCAAATAGAAGATTAACTGACAGTAGAGATCGTGTAACACAGTTCTAGCTGACCTAAAGTGCAAGCCAATCCACCAATTATGATATCTCTTCTTTTTCTCCTCCGAGAAATACACGACGATATTTTGTTGAATGACAATGATAAAAAGTTCAGGAGTACATTTTGTGAAACAAGGACACTACCGAGGAATGATCATCTCATGTATTAGGATAAGCTGCCACCGAGAATACTTATTTTTCTCATGTTTAATAGAAGCTTGCAAATCAGAAGGTCGTAAATGTTTTAAGTACTCGTCAGAATAAACAACACTATTAGAAGAGTGAACACAACAACAACAACTTGACATTAGTCATTACAAATATATGTGATGACTCCTTACATATTTTCTATTGTTAAAAATGTCCATGGACAAATGACCTTCAAATAAACTGACTTTAATGTATGTTAAATTTTTGACTATATATTTTGATGATTAATAAAAATCCGAGTAAATCTGCTGAAGAAGCTGTGGCTTACACAGCGAAACGTTCAGAAAAATCTTGTTTTGATTTTCTTAACACGCTGGGATTAATTTAAATAATTTATAATGAATCAATCTGACTCGGCGCTCAAATTATTCCAGGAAGTTCGTAACACCTACGGTCTGGAAACCTATAAACACTATTAGAGGTCATGTTTTACCAAATTTAAACAAAATCAATGAGAGAAACTATATGCAATATAAATTGATGGAGGTTTTATGTAGCCTAAATTTTTAGCAGGCCACTAGTCAAGGAAAGTGACTTTTCTTGCTGTGAATTTGATGATATTCTAATAATTACGCCATTCATACTTTATTCAAGTCATTAGCTTCGTTTAATTTAGATGCTCCAACACAAAGTTAACTGTATTACACTAATTAGTGGATATCATTTGTGTCTGTTGCTTTCCATGATTATTATATATATGTATCCTGAAACTTCCACAAGTATCGAGAATTATGATACCTGCATTTATGTGGGAAGGCGAATAAAGACTGCAAGCGTAGAAATTTTATAATTTCTCTTAAATTTAATTGATTTCAACTTAAATCACTAATTGATATTGCTGAGAGAAATACTGACAATTAGCGAGTACAAATATTTACTGATAGCATTCGCTAACGATAGTGTTATATATATATATATATGCATCACAAACTGGTAGACCTTAAAATTCATGGCCTATTGCAACCAATTCCAGTGACTAAATGATCATCCTGATAGGCTGGTAACCTGCA